ATATACATATAAGATATCTCTCTTTAAATATATATGCTGGAGTCACTCAGCTCTAAGCAACGGTCAATTGTTTTTTTTTTTTTTTTTCGAAACTATTAAGCACGGTACCTCGAGGATTAGTAGGCCACTTCCCTATGCTTCGTTTCCTAGGTACATTTTTTTTTTTTTGTACACCGGAGAATACGTTCGGGTATGAAAAATGACCTAATCCAGCCTCTCGTGAGTAATGTGTTTAAACAACGCACTTTTTAATTTTTTATACTTTTTGTTCTCATGAAAGGGATTGGGTGTGTTGGCGTCACCCACTCAGCTTTAAACAAAAACGGTCAAGGTTTTTTTTTTTCTTTCTTTTTTTCGGAACAACTGAGGATTATGCTCCGTAATAAAAAAAGTTGAATGAAAGTAACGTGGGGACTAATCGATTACTTTAGAGTAATTTTTATTACTTTTTTCAGGTTGTAATTGTGATTGTAATCGGTTACTTCTTACAATTATGTAATTATAATTGTAATCGGTTACTTTTTTCAGTAACGTGTACAAGTCTGGCTGGGGTCGGTTATAATCTACGCTTATTCCGGAGTCACATAGGTTATCTCTTCTTTGGAAAGAAGAAGGGAAGGCGCGGACACATTGTTGTAAACAGTGCTCATGGTGAATGGCTCAATGATTTGCCTGCCAAATCTGTTATGATGATGCCCTCCCAGAACCTTTGTGTTCTTAAAACAAGGAACGCAGTGGGCGCCTGTGCGGACACGAACGACTATGGGATGAAAGGAATCAGCTGACGAATGCGAAACTTCCAAATTATGCTCTCTGAGTTTGTGGAGGGAGTCGGAAACCCTAAAAAGCTGAGGAAGTTGAACGTTAGAAAGTGTCCAACTTCCTCAGCCTTTTAGGATTTCCGACTCCCTTGAACCGATATCTTGCATTGAGCCCCTTCATTCATCTTCCACTCCACCATCCATTTTCTCCCTAGAGATTGAGGATATGTATTTTGATTGAGACCCGGAAGTTTTCCTGGAATCAGTTTCCGGTGCCATCCAAGAACGTGGAATCTGTGACTTCCAGAGTTCCTCCGGTGTCTCGGCCTCTGGCTTCGTTGACTTACTAGCCCTTTACCTACATCCGACTCGTGACGAATACGAAGGAAATATTTTAAGGCAGAAAAGAAGGCGTTTGTATTTATTAATGTCTCGCTCCCATTCTCAGCAAGGTTTATCTTTCCTTTGTTGACCGAGCTGCAAAAGCTCAGCTTGATAATACCTCAGTTGGTTCCCAGGTCGTCAGATTTGTTGACGATTACCTTGTCATTCACCCAAAATCTGAATTGCAGGAGGGAATCGTGGACGCTTTCACGTCTAACTCGTCTAGATTCAGTTTTACCAAAGAGGATATTTCACATGAGGGTCTACAGTATTTAGAGCTCCGCTACCACCTTTCTTCTTCGGGTCTATGCTGGTCCTTCCAGCAGAGGACAAAAAATTCCTTGCTTCTTTATTCTAGCAATCATTCTAAATCAGTTAAACACGGCATCGTAAAAACACTCTTCTCGTCGTCTCTTTCAAAGTCATGCCCGCACTTTTCGGAAACAGGATTTTATTTTCACCATCTTAGGCTTGTCAACGCGGGGTATCCGGAGGACCTCTCGCGGAAACACCTTGAAGAGGTTCATTCTTGGCGTTAATCGTCCTTGTGTAGCAACCAAGAGCAAAAGGCCGGAACGACTTGCCATGATCTCATACACGCACAATTCATCGCTCCGACTGAGGGCTCTTGCATCCCGCTTCAACACAAATGTTGTTTTTTTATTGCCGAATAGGATGGTGAACCGAAATTTGAACCGAAATTTGGATTTCAAAAAAACAATGCTGGAGATGTAGGTGGGACGCTACAATCCCTACAACACTACTAGTAAGGCGATATCTCAAATGGACGGCCGTATCTTTGGAAAAAGAAGTCGAGATTGAACCAGGCAGACGAGGCGCGTGACGCCAAGATACCTAGTTTACTCCTCTCCTCGCTTCGCTCCCTGAAGGCCGCGAGGCGGAGAAGACGCGAGGCCGTTCCCTCTCCGTCTCGGAGAAACATGACGTCAACATTCCTGCCAAATGCGCCTCTTTTTTTTTTTTTTGCGAAATACGGTCATCCGTTCGAGATATCGCCGTATGAGTGATGTTTTCGTGTTTGTAGCATCCCGTTGCACGCTTTTGCCGCGTGTTCTTGGGAATCCAGATTTCGGTTCAGCACCCCTTTAAGCAGCTCAGTCAACGCGTGAACAATCAGGAAAAATCGCGAGGGTGCAATGTTAAGCACGTTGAGAAGTTCGTCCTGTGCGAGGAAGGAGAAGCTTATTCCATTCCTTTGACGTGCGGGAAAACGTATATCAGGCAGACAGGAAGATCCATTAACCACAGACTCGGAGAGCATAATTTGGAAGTTTCACGTTCGTCCCTCCAGCTGATTCCTTTCACCCTATAGTCGTTCACGCCCGCATATGCGCCGACTGCGTTCCTTGTTTCAAGAACACGAAGGTTCTGAGAGGGCATCATAACAGATTTGGCAGGGAAATCGTTGAGTCATTCACCATGAACACTGTTGACTACAATGTGTCCGCGCCTTCCCTTTTTCTTTCCAAAGAAGAGATAACCTACCTGACTCAGGAATAAGCGTAGATTATAACCGCCCCCAGCATATCAAAACATTTTCTGCTCACTGATACTTCACATCTTGTATTATATCTACTTCACAACTTTGTACACTTTCTTTTATCTCTTTTTCTGTCTGGTCCGCGCCCAGTCTGTTGCTTCCAGGCGTCCGGTGCATCTCCGTGGCCCGCCGTCTCGCACTTGCTTTCCGGCGTCTCCGGTTACATCCGCCGTTGCTTGGCTCAATAGGTCATGTTCGCTATACGTGGCAAACACGCACATAATGCACTGCAAACTCTTTCTCTCATTTTTTTTCTCGACGGTTCTGAAAGGCAAGGAGTGCTTTTACGCTCATTCGCTCATTCATGTTCTTGTTTCCCAGTTGAAAGAAAGTTTCGTCGTCCCTTGTCCCGAGTTTCTTTTATTCTTTTTGTTGCCAGTCAATGTTACCAACACGCTCTTCAGTTAATGTGAATAATAACCCGCTTTCCTGTGTTTGTTTTACGTTTCTTGTAACTTTTCTATTCACTACAAGAAAAACGTATTACCTCCGCTGCGAAGTACCGGTGTGCTGACATATTTGATGACATAAATCGAGCAGGTATCCGCCCCACATTATAATGATTAATGGGGGACTGTGCCAGAGCTTAACAAGATTGATTATGACGTCGTCTGCCGTGTACATTAGGCGATGCAATCTCAGTCAGACCTTTAACGTTAAAAACTTTTCCGCTCGCCAACCTGTTTTTTGTTTTTAATGTTGATGTTAAAAAAACTGTTTTAACTTAGACTTCTATACGCCTAGCACAATCAGTAAGGGGCTCCGCCACGGTCATCTGAAAAGTCAGCGTGACTGGTGGACATTGGGCATTGCACAGGGTGTTTCAAGTAGCGCCGGCTAAATCATTCGTGAGAAAAGTACGCATGGCACGAAAAACAAAAAAAAAAGGTTAACATGGTATTGGTCGCTACCAAATGAAAAATATAGAAAAATTAATAACCCTCTGTTTGATTAGGTTATTTTGTACTCTTGAGTTATTAACGGTTTAATTAATGTATCTAAAAGTGATTTAGTCAAAAACTTTGTGGCATCATCAAAAGACAATGAATCGACACGGCAGGATGATCAAAACACACAACTGTGACGACAACCTGGTGATAACACGCCACAAAGCTGTGATGTGGCGTCTTTTGAAACGGTCATGAAAAATATTAGATGTTCCCTACTGTTCTCGTTTCTCAACTTACCGCTAGAGTCGCGACAGCGCCTCTTTTTTTTTCGTTTTTTTGGGGGGGGCTAAGATCCTTTACAGTTTCTTCTCTCTGTTTAAGGATCAGCTTATTAGCGATGTCTCGTCGTCTACAAATGCGGTATTCCACAAAAGGCCCGCTTAATTTATGCGTTGGGACCCAAACGGTTTGTCTGCGTTTCAGCGGCAGTCGGCAAGGAAGACAATGATTTCACGAAATCATTTTACGGAAGACCGTGGTTGAGCAGACAGGTTATTTCGGCGAAGCTTTGTTCTCGTTCCCATAGGAAGCGAAACGATAGCGTCTCCAGAATTGCGAGGCGCGGGAGGCAAGCGGTAATATGTTGAGTAGCTTCGCGTCTAAGAACGGGCTGCGGGCGTTTTAATGGCAGGCCTAAAGGAAGTTCAGTCATCCGGTAGAATTCGCTTTTTGTACATTTATGTGCTGATTTTGTTTAACCTTGTTGGGACAATATTCTGTAGAAAGTAGTTTTACTAGAATAGGCAGTTCGGCTCGTTGGTATACATTCATGGTGAAAAACAAAGCACAAAGACTCTCCCCATTGTCCTTGTATTTTCCAAAGCCGAAAAACTTTGTCCTTGTAAATTACGGCGGCCAAATTCACTCCTTGTTGTCCTTGTATTTTTGGGCTGTTTTTCATCAAGATTTGTTGTATGATCTCCCGAATGCCACTGGCACTTGAACTAACTGTCGGACTCTGCGTACTGGCAACCGGCATCCTGTTCTTCGTCAGGCGTTTTTCTCTTGCAGCCGCCTGCCCTACTTCTCCTTCTTTACCTTTCTGTGCCATTTAGTTGTCGCTCTTGCACCGCTTTGGTGGTAAGCAAAGCCCGCAAGCAAAATATTTCATGGTATGTGGGCGCAGTCCGTTTTAGTACCGACCGCACACCGAGGAAAGTCACCGCTGCAAGAACAGGCTGACTGCAAGCGGAGCATGCGATCGGCGACTGTACGTTTCGTGTTGCACGCTATTTATCGAGGCACTTGCAATACGCTTGGAAGACATTTGTAAAACAATGCCTCAGACACGAGCTTGTTACGTGTCCAGAACTTATATAATACCACGTTACTACTCTCTCACAGAAGCCATGTCCGCAGCCACCTCTAAACCTATCATGAAGGCGAGTCTCCCACCTGCCTGCACTCCGGATTCCTCGGGGCTTGGCTAAGATCTCAATGGCCGACTGCGTCCAGCGCGGCCTGGGCGGCGTGCCGGCGGGCGTCCCCTCCTCCACGGGCTCGTCCTCTCTTAACGGAACCCGGGTCTACCCGGACGGCGTGGTGTGGGATGGGCCGCTGATACAGCGCGTGGCAACGCTGTCCGTCATCATGCTCTTCACGCTGGTCGGCAACTCGACTGTCCTGGTGGTCCTGTCCAGGCCCCGCGTCGCCAAGAGGGCCTCACGGGTCAACCTCTTCATCTTCAACCTGGCGCTGGGGGACCTCGCCGTCTGCCTCTTCACGCAGTCCTCCGAGATGCTCTTCGAGGTAGGTGCGTGCAGGCGACACCACTGCGTTGCTTCGTGCGCTTCAGACATCGGCCCAGGAAGTATTTTTCGGGCCTGTATCGAACCTCGAATGCATTTCACGAATGAGGAACTTTTTCGAAGAACTGTGGTGTACCCATAAAAATACTTTAGTCACTGGTAAGATGAGCACAGCAAAGAGGTATTTGTATCGTCCCGCGTCTATTGCTAACTACCGACCTTCGATAGCACTTCGGCATCTCGTGGGCTTCGTGTGTGCTCGCGCAGTCAAAGCACGGTGGAAGGCCACGACCGCATGCTGAAAGCCGGGTGTTTGGAAGAGGCGCCCTGCAGTCATCACCTTGTCAGTGACTTTATTATTAACAATCAAAATATATTGTACAGACTCTTGCCATAAGTGCAAAAACAAAAAATGAGCATTCGAGCTATTTCAGAGCAAATATTTCTCTGTGTGCTTCAATTAGCCTGTGAATTGGATACACGCTCGTGCGGCTAAACTCAAATACAGCGTAGGTCATAAAAAAAACATACGTCCACAACCACTCAAAATATATCGAAATCTAAAAGATGTGCAAGCTTTGCGATGTTGAGTGAAAAGCTTGCGGTGCATTCTTGAACGACATGAGGCGCCCATGGCTTTAAGTCGTCAGACAACGTAAATCCATGGTCAGAAAAAGGAGAAAAAAAAAGGTAACTGTCACACCGCACAAACCCGGAATGTACAATCTGCCGAAGCAAGATGGAAAAAAAGCTTTCGTGTTGTGTTCTCGCCCCAGAAGTTTCACGCAGTCTGTACATACATGCGGCGGGTTCACTTTAGCCCATTTATTTTTATTATAATCATCATCGGGTGAAAGGAACGCATTGTCGTTACATTCAAATTCAAACACACCTGGCATGCCGTGTTTATTGTTCAGGCGCCTCGACACCGTGTGACACCTTTTTCTACTTTCATCCAAACAAAATTGGCCATACTACAATGTAAGACAACAATTTAACAAAAATAAGTATTTGGTGTTTGGCGTGTTTGGCGTGGGGTGGCGTCGGCAGTGTCAGGACTCTACCGTCAGATCGGAGCACGGGGCCACTACCGCAGTTTTGCAAGCCTGACTCCGGTCCCAGGCAGGGGTCTGATGCGCGGTTGCGCGTTTTCTCACCTCATAGAAACTCAAAATCGGCTCGGCAGCAAACGTCCTCAGCACACCACACGCGACATGCAAACAGTTCTCAATTCCAACATACTTCGTCTCACCTCGCGACGAACTGAAGGTCAAAGCATGCGATCTATCAGGTCTAATAACGAGCAAGTCGGAAACCACGTCGTAGGTTGCTTCAACGTGCATGTAAGTGCCCGCGTCGAAACAACACGTGCTTTCCAACTAGCTCCTGACTGGGTCTAACGACCCGTTGCTTTGGCATCCAGTTCATCCAGTTCATCGCCGGGTGACACGGAATAAAGCATCCTATCGGCACGCGTCGCGGTAAATCAGCCTATCCTGTCAACCGGCGTTGCCATGCGCTTTGTCACCGAGCCCACCATTTTTTATGTTTATTTGGAGGCCACGAACGTACAAAAAAAAAACGTCTGGATTTGACAAACTTATCATCAGGAGTGTTCCTGCCTTGGTCGAGAAGCGAGTTTGCCTGTCGCTTAAGAGCGTACCTTCTTTTTTCGATTCATCTTCAAACTATTCTAATATCGGTTATTGCGCGCTGCCTTGTTTGTGCACTGGGTTGTCCGCGTTCTGAGCTTGCGCAGTAGCTGTTTCCTGCGGAGCATCAAACGCTGCGCATGCGTCTACAGCCCAATGACTCGGCATTTTTTCTCCTGGATGGCACGCGCTGGATAGGCGTAGACGTAGCGAGTTATTTCGGGCTCGCGCAATGGCAGGCGTCTTCAGAGTTAATGTGCTCGGGGATTAAGAGAGACGGAAAAACAGCGGTCGATCGGGAAAGCTCGTGCGCAGTCGGTTAAAATCGACCCTTTTCATTCGTGATCTAAGCCCGGACTCCTTATTAACTATGGGTAAGGCGTATACGGTGAAATCGGAGACCGATGGTTGCGCGCGTGTTTGTCATCGCCTCTGGCGTTGGCTTTCTGGCGTTTCCTACCTGTCTTATTAATGCACCAGAAACGAAATGTATCCAATCGGAGGTGTTCTGGAAACACACGCCGTCGCGTGGAACGCGGCACGACGCTTAGTGTCACGTGGTACGTGCTCGTTTGTGCTCCAGAAATCCTCCCACTGCTTGTCTCGTCCCGTGTACATGTAGTATTCTTTGTTTATGAGCTTTAGAGACACAGTATCATCATCATATGCGAGAATCAAGAGCCACGTTATTGAATATACAACACGAGCACTTCACACCATCGTACGTGGTCTCCGAGGAGGATATAAACGAATATGTGCAAATGAATGAACCGTACTTAATCCAATGAATCAAAGAATCAAAGTTTTCAGGAACCCGCCGAAAGCCAAAAAACGGCGGAGCCAGGATTTGAACTCTGGGCCTCCACGAAAACACCGAGCTGGTGTGACGTCTCTTTCTCTCGTCGGGGTTCCCGCCTTGGGCCCCGCACGTCGGCACCCCGCGGCCCACGCGCCGGCAATCTAAGCCTTTTCAGCATCTTTACAGGCCTTTCGGGGCGCTGTCCTTATCCTAGCTTTTCCTGTTTCTTTCCACTCATCAGTAATGGCCCTACGCGACCATTACATTACGTGAACACCCGACCGGACATTGGGAGCCTTACCGCGGGCGCCTTACCGTAACCGCTAGCTTTGTACCTGCTCCACGAGTGGTAACTTTAGTGCACTACTACGCTTCTCACGCGCTCAAAGTCTTTCTGAAAATGACTGATTTAGTGCTTTTCGATGACGCTGAGCAAGTTTCTAATTGGAACCATATGTCTATTTTCATTAATTAAAAATTAATTATCGAATTTTATTTAATTAGCCAACTGACCGTTACGATTAGCCCCCTATAATATGTCCCCCCTTGCCGTATAACTCACCTCCACAAACGCCAATTGTGTAACTTTCACGGCGTGTTTTAAGTAAATCTGTTCGAATTCAAAATGAACACCGGTCCTCACGGGGCGAGCTGACGGGGCGAGCTGACGGGGCGACCGTTGGGGTGCTTGCTCTGGCGGAGTATCCCAGGCTAGCTCTGCCTGGCGCGAGTCTCCTGCGCTCGTGCCGCGTGCTGCGTCGACCAGCTCGCGCAGCCCGGCGCCTCTAACATATGCCCCCCCTCTGGGGAAAGGCCATCCTGGCCATTTTCGTGGCGGTGGTAGGCCTTGATTCGTGTGACGTGGACGACGTCTGGATCGCGGGTTCGGTTGTCACTTGGTGGGTTCAGAAGCTGGACCAGGTAGTTGACGGGTGACGTCTGCCGGACGATGCGGTAGGGTCCCACGTAGCGCGGTAGAAACTTTTGGCATAAACCAGGCTTGCGCAGGGGAAAAGCGACGAGGACCTCGTCTCCAGGGGAGTAGTTGACGTTGCGATGAACTTTGTCGTAGCGTATTTTTGATTGTAGCTGTTGGTCTGATATGCGAGAGCGGGCTAGTCGGCGGCATTCGTGAGTATGGGCAAGAGGGTCCGCGACAAATTCGTCTGAATAGTGGAGCTGTTCCGAGGGGAAGATGGAATCCAGGGTACAAGATGCTTCGTGTCTATAGAGAAGATGGAAAGGGGAAAATGCCGTGGTACTCTGACGAGCGCTGTTGTATGCGAATGTTATGAAGGGTACACTGTAAAAAAATTTGCCCTCTTTTACGGAGAAATTCTCTGGCACCTATGCTGCCGGAAAGGTCATCCGTAATCCTAATAACGGAAAAATCCTTTTAAACGCATACACAATCCGCAAATTAAAGGACGTTCCGCAAAACAGATTACGGAAAGTGCTCTACTATCCGTAACGCTATTCAAGAGCTGTCCGTAAAACAACGGACTGGAATATGCATTCCGTAAAACCTATTACGGAAATCGCTCTAGTATCCGTAAAAGTGTTTAAAAGTTGTCCGTAAAAGGGCACTCAAAGTAGGCTTTCCGTAAATTATATTACGGAAAGCACTTTTGAGTATCCGTAATCCTATGCGGAGCGTAAGTTTGTCTGCTTCTTGCACAGGGGTTGCAGTGATGTCAGAAGGCCGAGCTCTTATTGACCGATTGAACAAAAAAAAATAGTGGGTAGACCTCATGGTGTCTAGCATTGTGGTCTACCCACTATATCTTCCGCTCAAAGCCAATGAGAGCTCGTCACCTTTCTGACGTCACCGTAATGTCTACGCAAGAAACAGACGACTTGCTCTCCACATAGGGCGGTGTCAATTGAAAGGTGGGCTGTAAAACGAGCTGGATGAATCAATGCCTTCATTTAGCAAACTGAACTTATTTATCAACGGTTTTCTTTTTGTGACACAGATTCCCATGAAAACTTTTAAGGTGCAACTCCAGTCTGTGAAAAATAGAACTATATTATTAAAATTTTTGACAATGGGCACCGATGTATACAACTGAGTCGTGTTGAGTGCTCTTGTCGAGAAGTGCCACCACCCGTTGTGGAAAGCAGGCAATACAGCTGAGAAATGCATCTGCAGCAAGTTTCCTCAATGTCAGTTGTGTTTTCTTCTGCAAGTTCTGGCATTCAGATCAACATACAGAATTATAGAAGGCAGTGGGATTACAAAACATTATCTGCAGTCTGATCGGCCACTGCGATCATTGCAATTTCAAACAGCGATATAAAGCACCTTCTCAACAACACCAAACGTCACTCTGTCATCTGCGTCGGCACTCATGCTTGAAAATATAGAGAATGCTGTTTTCACATTCCACAGAGACGGAGCTGTGCCTTGACATGTCACAATGGTGTTCACTGCTAAAATAGTCCTTTGGTAAGAATATGAGCTCAATGCTTGTAGGAGCAAATTTCTCCAGTTCGTTTTACAGCCAGTCCCTTAGTGATACTGCTCTATACATAGAGTAATGTTCATTATGAC